TTCTGGGTATGTGTGTGCAGGTGTTTCTGGATGAGATTAACATCTGAATTGGTAACCTGGGTAAGGCAGATTGTCTTCTCTAATATGAATGGGCTTCATGCAATCAATTGAAGACAGCTTGAGGACTGTAGTTGGTACTTCTCTGCCTCCATAAACACAAGAGCCAATCCCTTATTAGTCTCTTTCTCTCTCCCTCCCCCAAGTCCATCCATCTGTCTGTCCATCCACCCATCCATCCTGGTTCTGTTTTTCTGGAGAACCCCAAATACACCCCTATTTTGTAAACAACTCTACTGGAGTATAAGAAGTATATTGAAAATATTCAGTTTTCCAAAGGGGAAGACCAGCACCTAGGATCCTAGACTCTGGGTCTTATGCCATTCACATGCAGACCTTCTTAAAACCATCTTGTATTTAAGGTTAATTCCTAAAGTTCCTTCAACATATTTCTAGTTAGTTTTCTTCCTTAGGAACAAAAGTTGATTAATATTAACAGTTTTAACGTTGATAAGCATTAGATCTTGCTCTGAGGTTGAAGTTTAATTTTTTTTTTTTTTAAATGTTTGTTTTTGAGAGAGACAGAGATAGAATGCGAGTGGGTTGGGGCAGACAGAGAGGGAGGCACAGAATCTGAAGCAGGCTTCAGGCTCCGAGCTGTCTGCGGACAGCCTGACGCGAGGCTCGAACTCACGAGCTGTGAGATCATGACCTGAGCCGAAGTTGGACGCTCAACCGACTGAGCCACCCAGGCGCCCCTGAAGTGGAAGTTTGGAAGAAACATAAAATCCACTGGGTAATTTAATCTTCCATTTAAGAGGTCACCTTATGCCTTGCCATTATTAAATATTAAGTAAGATATCAAGTACAATCGACACTTGTACACTTTATCAATTCCCAATTTCAAGCTATATAAGAAGAGTGAACAACTGTAATATTCACCATGCTCTAAAAAGATGGTTTGGCCTTTCTGCACAATTTGTGCATAAATCTAACCAAGTATTTCCACCTATTTTGGAATTAAACACCAGAATGTCAATTTTTCTGAGGGAAAAATAACACAAGAAATATTAGTTTCAGGTGTATGACATGATACGAAATGTATATATTGCAAAATGATCACCACAGTAAGTCTAGTTAATAGCCATCCCATACAGTTACAAATTTTTCTTGTGAGAACTGTTACAATCCATTTTCTTAGAGATTTTCAAATATACAATACAGTATTATTAACTATAGTCACCCTGCTGTACATTATACATCCCCAGGACTTGTTTATTTTGTAACTGGAAGTTTATACCTTTTGACCACTTAATTTATTTGGTTGCTTACTTCTGTTTTCAGTAATAAGTTCAGGTGTTCATCTACAGAAAGGAAAACCTGCACAAATCTTAGGCAGATGAGTAAATAAAGGTGAAAATGCAGAATTAGAGTCAGTTTGAGAATGCTGACTTCCCAGCAAACAAACGATTTATTTATTATTTAGCAGGTGTTTTTTTTTTTTTTTTTTTAATTTTTAAAGAGCAAGCGAGTAAGCAGGGGACAGGGACAGGGACAGAGAGAGAGGGAGAGAATCCCAAGCAGGCTCCACACTCAGCATGGAACCTGACGTGGAGCTCAATCCCACGACCCTACTAGGATCATTACCTGAGCCAAAATCAAGAGTCGGGTGCTCAACCAACTGTGCTACCCAGGCACCCCACCACCAATTTGGCTTATTTTACTTTAAAAGTATTCATAATTCTCTTCCTTCTTCTTTTTGGGACACTTAATTTTTAAGCCTCTCAGAAGAAATCATCTAGTAACATTTTCCCAGTAGCATAATCAAGTAGATGGCTAATAAGAAACAATTACTCATAATTTCCTTTTCTATAGCTACTTAATATAGAAATTATCAATTACCTAAATTCTCAAATAACATCCACAGCAATATTTTAAAAATTTTACCAAAACCTCAGAGTTAAATGTTGTACTTATAATATTACCTCCTTTACCATACATGTAAGATAAAGTAATCTTGGCTATTTCAATCAACTTTCCTTTCTGGAACATTAACAGGTTAAAAAAAAAAGAAAGAAAACTGTTAAAACAATATATGAAATGGTCTTTTGGAAAAAAGGACTGCTTTGAAAGTAAGGAGGACTTTTTTTTTTTTTTTAAATCATCATTTTGTTTTGTTTTGAATTTTAGCCCAGAAAGCAAATAATAGTTTGGACCTCTTTCCGATTTGTACAACAGAGATACCACTACTTGTTTTCCTCTACGATGTGTAAGAATGTTAACAAGAAAATGAAATATACTGAGCTCTGGGTTCTCAGAAAAAAACAGTCACTGAAAGGGAAGAATAATTCTCAATAAATAGTCATGCATGACTTTACATCAAGGCTTCAATCCTCTGAGGCGACCAGATCCACATTTGAGAATTAGTTTGACTAAGAACATTTTGTAAGTTTGAAGGATTTCTTCTTGGTTGACTTTTCCCTAAGTAGCAAATTATTACAATAAAGCTGTAACAACTGATGGTCTCTTGACTCAAGGAAGATATATTTTATCAGAATATGAAGATATCCTTTTGGTAGCCCCCCAAAAAGGAAAGTATTAAAAAATAGAGACCCAGACAATGTCACAGTGAAAAGAAGAAATCTGAAATGACAACTACACCATTCGTCTCATTTCTCAAAACCAAGAATTGTTCCCCATGTTTCTTTAATTGAATTAACCGAGCTATGAATCTTAAAAGACTCACAATATTCTGTCAAAGCAGAATTTGGACAAAACCACTTGAAGGCACTCTGTTTAAGGCAGAATTGTTGCATCCATGTTAAGACTGAACAGGAATAAATCATTTTAAGTTTTACCACTAAAACCCTAATGTTCACTGTCATTAATATGTGAAGATTTCTGTGCTGTCCCCAACACTTAACAGGTAGGAGAAACATTTTAAGAAAAATATCAGTAAATCTAATCCTCTCCTAGGGGGCTTAATGTACTTTTCCAGCAGATTCTGCAAAAGGAAGAAACTGCGGGCCACAAGCCTGGATCACAACAGCAGGATAAGAATAAAAATCATTTCCAACTCAGTCACTTACTCAGCATGCCTTACCCATTTCCTTACCTCAACTTCCTTCTAAAACTTATCTTTTAAGCCCCTTTCAACAATTTCTTCTTTCCAAAATCCATCTCCAAGTTCTGCTCATTTTCCAAACCCATTCAGCAAAAATAAAAGTCTGAGGACCAAGCCAAACAAATCTCAGGAAGTCTTAATGTATTTTGCCACATCCACATGGTTTTTGCTCTATTTTCACAAAATAGAATCATACTATAAAATTCTTATTTTTCAGTGGATTTTTTCACTCACTTTAAAATTTACTGTCATTTTATCTTCACAAAAGTCCAATGAAGTAGAGGTATGATCTTTTTATAAACAACTGAACTCAGAAGAAACTTGTCCAAAATCATAAAGCTTGTAAAGAGGCCGAGTCAAGATTCAAACTCAGATTTGTAAGATTATATAAAGCTCATATACTTTACTACCTCTTCGGTCCAGTTGTCAAATTGCAAATAACTTCAACTTGTGTAACAAAAAGGTCCTTTTTGAACTGGTCGTACTTTAAAATTCATTATCTGATGATGCTAAAAGTTCTAAGGCTATAAATTAAAGATCATTCAATACCAGTGTCACCTTACAGTAAGATGAAACTCAACAGGGAAAGGATTAGGTCAAAATCAACAGTCTTGCCTTTGCATTATATAATTAGTTCACTCCTTGCAAGCTTCTACTTCCATAATAAATTAATCAACAGGAAAAATATACATTAGCCAAACCATATAAAAACCGAATTAGCAAATTAAGCTATTCAGACACTCAAAGTCAAATGAAAAGTAATTAGCTATGCACACCACCTGGTAATACCATAACAGTATTTTCACCTATCAAAGCAATGATGTATAGCCATTTCAACTGACACTCAGACTTTGGAAATATTTCCAGTTGAAAATGGTTTGCTTGGCAAAAGATAACTGGAAGAGTTTGGGGAATTTTATTCTCAGTATCTCTAAAAGAAGCTGGTAGGACAAGTGTTCCCTGAAACAGTTGTCAATATAAAGCAGTGATTTTCTGGGGAGTTTTCTTTCCGATACCTCCGGGATTGAGGAAAGGTTAGGTTTAGCACAGGGTACAACTCAGGACCGGGGAATAACCTGGATATTAAGCTGCGCCTCTAGGGGCTACTTTAGGTCAAGATAAATCTCAGTGAATCTTCTCTGAAAAAGTCTGGAACAGACAAGGATAAAGTACAGGCCCTGGTGGGTAAAAATATTCTCCCTGACACTTATTCCCCAATAAGTGTAAACATAAATGTACATTTGCAAGAAATTATAAGCAAATAAATACAGTTCTAGTCTTCTCGTACCCTCATCCCAGGTCTTTAGTGGCTGTCAAATTATGAAGTCCAAATCTGCTTTGCTCAAATTCTTTTTCTATCCTTCAATTCCCTATAGCCTTCAGCTCAGGTTGAGGTTTCAAATTCTGCTTGCTCTCTGCCACACTCAAAACTGTACTTCAATTTCCTAGGTCTTTGATGGACAAAATTAAGAGACGTTATTTTCTGAAACTTAAAAAAACATCTACTAAATCTGAGTTTAACTTTCTTCTAAAATCACTGTAAAGGCAGAAACTGAAGGATTCACTGGACTAATTAGCTAATTAATGAATTTTTACATAAGTGATATTTATGTTAATCAAAAAAATCAAGCTGCTGAGTTTCTGTAAATATTAAACTCATTGAAATAAAGAAAAACCTCACCAAACATTACTTATTGTAGGACTGTCCATTTAAAGTTTACCAAAGCATTGTGAAAAATGTAATCCACAAATCAAGCAAGCATTATGTATCATAAAAGACTCCTTCAACAGGTACCCAATTTAAAAATACTTTTTGAAAAGCTGAATTGCCTCCACGGCAATTAGTAGATTATACAAAATAGAGAAAACCAGTAAATACCTGAACTGAAGTGGCTGTTTCCTGTAAATGGCCACCAGCAACTGCTCCTTTGTAAGTTGCTAAAGGGACACTGTGCATTTTGGGGGTTCCTGGAGTATCAATCTTTTCATCTGTCCTATGTGACTGCCAGACTTCCTTTCGATGGTGAGATTCAGCAGCCTGCTGGTCTCCAAAAGTAGCCCAAGAGCAACTATCTTTCTGTCCATCCTCAAAGGCATTCCAATCTACAACTTGGCTAGGCCCAGCTGAACTGAAGTCCGCAAAATCATCAGAGTCTTGAAAAGCACTGCGGTCCTCTCGAATATTTGGCACAGAATCAAAATCTCCAAATTCACCTTCTTGCTCAATTTCCAGTTTTGAAACAGGATCAGTGCCTGTCCCAGAAGACTTTCCCACCAATTTACATTCCTCTGATAAACTATCAGAAGTCTGTTTTAGGTCGGACTCAGTAAATAGAATTTCATCTTGGCAAGAAACAGCATTTGTATCCCCAAATTCTCCAAAGTCATCACCTGGTTCACTAAAATGTGGAAAGTGCTCTGAGGACTCTTCGAAAGTGATATCGCTCATTGAATCTTGGGTACCAGTAACAAAAGGTGGAGTCGTGCCACTGGCTGTGCCGAAGTCACCAAAATCATCCTCGTTAGTATCATTGCAAGTCACGAAGTCATTACTACTGTCACCATTTTTTACACTTAAAGAATCATCCAGAACGTTTTCTTCTGTAGGATCAATGCTGGGGCTTTGGGAGTCAGTAAACTTTTTACTTTCTTCTTTGGAAGAACCAACTTCATCATCAGCATCAGAAGTTTTAATAGAATCCATGCATAGGTCAGCACACTTAGAAGTAAACAAATCAAGTTTTTCCTCAGTTTTACATTCTCTCATACTGGCTTCTGAATTATCAGCTGAGTCTGCCAAACTCCAAGGCTTTGATTGAATGGATTTTAAAAATTCATCCTGTTGCAATGTTGGAAGGCCTTGTTTTTCCGTAGTGAAACCTCTGGTACTCATTATGCTTATTTCTGAAACACAAACCTGATCCTCTCCATCAATGTCTCCTTTATCGTCAAAGCTTCTACCCAAAGACAGTGCTTTTACAGAACTCAGTTCACTGACTCTATTAATTTTATTATTTTCCTGAATGGTTAATGCTTCTCTATCATTTAAAACTGCACATCCTGTATCTTCTAGTTGTATCCTTTCCTTTTTGGAAAATGTGGCAAAATCTGCAAATTCCTCAGCAGGACTAGGTGCACAGTCTAAGTTATAGTCAGTACTATGAGTGCTAAGAGGCTTTCGTCCTTTTGAATCGGCTTCGGTGTCCAGATCATCTGTTCCCTGAGGATTTACAGTTTCCAATACTGCAAACCCGTTTGTTAGAATCTCCAGACAAGGAGGCTTTTCACCATTGCAGCTCTCTAACTGCTTGTTTTGATGAACAACATTCGTATCAGTTCTAAAATCTCCTGGAGAGAAACTTTCAGGTGTTCCAACATTCTGTCTCTGCTTCACTATAGTATTTAAATCTCCTGGACTTTCTATGCCATCAATGGAAGTATCTAAAGTTTTAGATGAAATTATTTCTTTGCTGGTGGTAGAAAGTAAAACGTCAGACTGTCCTTTCACAGGAGAAGAAAGTTCAGCAGTGATGTCTTTATCATTACCATTCTTAATGGATTTAAAGCTAGTAAGGCTATCTACATTTTCTGAGAAATCATGAATTGGCATAAAATGGTTTGAAGGTACAAACTCTTCCTTGGGACGAGTATAATCTGGTGTATCAAAGTCAACAAATCCTACACCAGAAGGGCTAACTTCTGAAAACCCACCAAATTCCCCAAATTCATCATCATCATCATCCTCGGCTCCATTGTCTAGTGGTGGTGGGGATGAAGAGTACATTCGAATGATGTCTGGCTCCATTGTTCAATTGCTTTCAAATAATTAATTTACACCTGAAAAAACAAAACAACAGGTTTTTTTTTTTTTTCTTGGAGGGGACAGATTACGTATACAACGTCTTTCAAAACTCTCTCAAAGCTATTTCAAACCCGTGAAAATTTACAGTGCTTTGTTTTGGACCTTTTAAATTCTTTTTCTCTTAGGTAAGATGACTTTACACAGCTATAATGGCAAAAAAAAATTTTTCTAGTGTAGGTTTCTAAGAACATTGGTGTTACACTACTGAATTTGGGGATTCCAGGAAATTTTGAATAAACACAAAAGTATATCTACAAAATTCTCTCTTGGACCACTTGTTTATTCTCTTAAGCTTGCTTTCTAGTCCACTGGAGATTCAGGGCCTGCCTTATGGATTTGTGAGTTCTTTATAAATAAGACATGAAAATTTTCTTTAATAATTGCTATTCAATTCAACGTTTATTTCTGACCCAAGTTAAATTTTAACAGACTTTATTTTTAGAGCAATTTTAGGTTCATTGAGATGGTAAGTGAATTCCTAGATCTTCCCCACCCCCATTCATCCACAGCCTCATTTATTACAGACATCCTCCAGCAGTGTAGTATATTTGTTACAACTGATGAACCTACATTGACATACATCATTATTACCCAAAGTCCATAATTTATATTAGGGTTTGCTCTGTGTTGTACATTCTATGTGTTAGGACGAATGCATTAATTACAGTATCACAGAGCAATTTCAATGCTCTAAAAACCCTCAGTTCCATTATACATCCCTCTCTCCCCTGTGCCTGGCAACCACTGATCTTTTTACTGTCTCCAGTGTTTTGCCTTTTTTGGGATGTCACAGAGTTGGAATCATACAGTACGTAGACATACATATGTCATACAATATGTAGCCTGTACATACTGTACGATTAGCTTCTTTCATTTAATAACATGCATCTAAGCTTCCTCCAGGTCTTTTCATGGTTGATGGCTCATTTCTTTTCAGCACTGAATAATATTCCATTGTCTGGATGTACCGCATTTTAATTTAGTTTTATAACTTTTCACTACTGAAGTCATTTAAGTTGCAAAAACAGTACAGAGCTCTCATGTATACTCCAACCAGTTTCCCACACTGATAATGCGGTAAATAACTCTCACCTGTTCAAACCAGAAAACTGACATCAGTACACTATTAACTCAGTTACACACTTTGTTTAGATTTGACCATTTTTCTGTGTGTGTGTGTGTGTGTGTGTGTGTAATTCTATGAAATTTTATCACATATGCAGATTAGATTCAAGTAACCAACACTACAACTAGGATAAGAACTGTTGCAAAAATAGTTCAGTAATATTCATCAATATAAAGAAACTCCCTTGAGGTGCCTGGGTAGCTCAGTCAGCTAACCATCTAACTCTTGATTTTAGCTCAGGTCCTGATCTCGAGGTTTGTGGGTTTAAGCCCCATATGGGGCTCAGAGCTGACAGTGCAGAGACTGCTTGGGATTCCACCCCCCCCATCTCTCTGCCCCTCCTCCATGCTCTGACTCTCTAATTCTCAAAATAAACTTAAAAAAAACCAAAAACCTCATTCGTGTTACCTCTCAAAACACCCTCCCCTAAACCCTAACTCCTGTCAGCCACTGATCTGTTCCCCATAATTTTGCTACTTCATAAGTACTTATTATGTAAATGGAATTACACAATATGTAATTCTTTGGAGGTGTTTTTCCCCCCCACTCAGCTTAATGCCCTTGAAATCCATCCATGTTGTTGCATGTCAAGAATTCATTCTTTTTTATTGCCAAGTTGTATTCCATTATATAGCTGCACCACAGATTGTTTGCCAGTTCATTCAATTTAGGACCTGTTGGTTGTTTCTTGTATTTCACATTTACAAATAAAGCTGCTATGAATATTTGTGTACAGATTGTTGTCTGACCACAAGTTTTCATTTCTCTAATATGAATTCCCAGGAGTGCAAATGCTTGGTCACATTAAGTTTACTTTACAAGAAACTGTAAAACTGTTTTCCAAAGTTAATTTTTATGGGACCAAATCAATTCAACTGTTCACTAGTAATTTTCATTAATTTGCTTTCATATAAGCTTGAGATTTAATATTTTTTTTCTAATTTTACACGGTTTTCTTTGCATTTAGTTTTTAATACATCTAGAATTTTGGCATACGATCTAAAGCAAAGGTCTAATTTTTTTTCCTAAATAGCCAAGCAATTATCCTAATCCCATTTATTGAATAATCTTTCCCATATCTATTAGTTTATGATATCTTCTTCACCTAACTTCTCTTTTAAATATTTATTTAATCTCTACACCCAACATGGGGCTCAAACTCATGGATTCGAGATCAAGAGTCACATGCTTTTTGGACTGAACCAGCCAGGTGACCCTCTCTATACATTTAACTCTTAAATGGAATCTATGTCTGAGTTACCCTGTTCCTCTATACTAAATCGCCAAAAATGCCATAAGACAGATTTACATTAAAAGCAAAGGGAAAATTAACAACAAAAGTCCTAGAACAAAACCAGCCTATAAATTGATACTTCCAGTGAACTAAACTGAAGCCCAATGAATTGGTATTTTCTGCCACTCACGGTTGCCAAGTTAGATACGTGAATACTTTACCACAAAACTTCGTAAGCTCAAAAAACAAAACAACCACTTCCTTCTAATTCTCAGAATAAAGTTTCATAAAGTCTTCCAACTTTAGGGAGAAGGTACCACACAAACCACTTAATTTAATTAGATATGAGGAAAATGAGGCCTACTGATGAGCAAGTTTCTCAAAGGTCATACAGCTGGTTAGAGAATGGTTTCAGAATTTTGAAAATGATCTTTGAGGTCAATGGTCACAAAGTTATTTGAAAGAAATTGAGCAAATCATAAAAGTAAAAGACTCCATTGTAACAGATCTATTTTAAACTGCCTTCCTTACAAAATCAGCATCATAAAGAAGGGAATGATGGCTTTACTTCCTGAGATACCGTCTTTTTTTGCTCTTTAAATGAGAAAAGGAAAAAAAACAGTAAAAGATACATATAAACCCTTAATTTTCTCCTTTGTCTAGAGTCCCGATAACCCATTTCAATGCTTAAGTATACAGGGTTATTTGACCTCTAACAGTTTCTCTGTGATTATGAAGTTCCTATTATTCAAAAATACTCTGTTAATGAGTGTGTGGAGAAAAGGACATTTGCACACACATACGGCAGGGGGGTGTGTAAATTGTTAGAAGGCTTATAGAAGGCAATATGGCTATACCACACAAACTTTCTTTTCCTTAAAAATAAAACAAAATGCTCCAAAAGGGATTATTTAAGTAAATTATGCTTTGTCCTTCCAATAACATACTATGTAGCCATTCGTATCATGATTCCTTTTTTTTTTTTTTTTAAATTTAAAAGCATTCACTTGGGGCGCCTGGGTGGCGCAGTCGGTTAAGCGTCCGACTTCAGCCAGGTCACGATCTCGCGGTCCGTGAGTTCGAGTCCCGCGTCGGGCTCTGGGCTGATGGCTCAGAGCCTGGAGCCTGTTTCCGATTCTGTGTCTCCCTCTCTCTCTGCCCCTCCCCCGTTCATGCTCTGTCTCTCTCTGTCCCAAAAATAAACGTTGAAAAAAAAAATTAAAAAAAAATAACAATAAAAAAAATAAAAGCATTCACTTGGGGCGCCTGGGTGGCTCAGTCGGTTAAGCGGCCGACTTCGGCTCAGGTCATGATCTCACGGTCCGTGAGTTCAAGCCCTGCGTCGGGCTCTGTGCTGACCGCTCAGAGCCTGGAGCCTGTTTCAGATTCTGTGTCTCCCTCTCTCTCTGACCCTCCCCCGTTCATGCCCTGTCTCTGTCTCAAAAATAAATAAATGTTAAAAAAAAAAATTAAAAAATAAAAATAAAAATAAAAGCATTCACAATGGTGGCAGCATGTCAAAAGGACACAAAAGGCAGCCTGAAGTGATTCTTATGGTAAAATCAGTGATAAGCATCAAAATAAAGACAGTAATGGATTATAATCCACTGAATAACTATCAGTCCTCAAATATAAACATGTTAAGATACTGCAGTTTCAAAATAGCTCCCCACAACATACTCAATTATAAAAGAAAGCAGTGTAACTTTACAGCGGTGAAAGCTGACACTTCATCAAATGATCAAAGTGAACATCATTAGCAATGGGAATATCAAAATCCCACATCACCTGACAAGACACAACAAGAACACAGGATCACTTCTGGAATATTCCTGCCCAGAATATACAACCTGAATCGATTCATGAGGTAACGTCAGACAAATTCAAACAGAGTCTGCAAAACAGCTGGTCTGTAATCTTCAAAAGTATCACTATCATGAAAATTAAGGAAAAACTTAAGAACTGTTCCAGATTGAAGACAACTAAAGAGACAAGTAAATTTAACACCTGATTTTTAACTAGCTTCCCTTTCTATACAGGTCATTATTGGGACCACTGTGAAACTTGAATAGTGTCCAAGGACTAGACAGCAGAAATGTATTGATGCTCATTTCTTGGTTTTGAGAGTGGTATTGTGTTTATGTAAGAGAATGTCCTTGGTTGTAGGAAATGCACACTAAAATACTTGGGAGAGATGGTACATCAGGTTGGCAACAGTCCCAAATTATTCCAGATAAAGACTTATTTGTACTGCACTTCCAACTTTTTATAGGATTGTGATCACCAATCACCTCAAGATGAAAATGAAAAAAGTTAAAAGAATTCAAGATCTATGTTTGCATTTAAATGTGTACACTGTATAATAAACGTGTTACTTACATAGCATTTAAAAAATTGTGACAATACATAAAATTTACTATTAAATTTTTTAAATGGACTATTTTAACAATTTTTAAGTGTATATTTCAGTGACATTAAGTACATTCACATTGTTGTGCAACCATCACCACCACTCATCTTTACAACTGTATCTTCCAAAATATTAAAGTGTTTCCTGTACTCATTAAACAACAGCTCCCCATT